TCGGCACCCAGGGTGGAGGTGGGAGTGGGGGTATGCCAATCAGCGTGGTGGGGGGGAGAGGGGAAGAGAAGTCCTACCTGCTTAGTCTTTATACACAGAAGGCAGCTGCTGCTGCTGCCACTGAAGCCAGCACTGTTACAGCAGCAGCAGTGGTGACAGCAGCAGTAGAAGTTGCTTTCCCTATGCAGAAAGCCCGGGCAGCAGCGACAGAGACAGCAATCTTGTAGCATAGGCTACCTGGAAGCTGCCCTTGGGGCCCCCACTTCCTCCTCCACCCACCCGAGATATGCTGCTGGGCACTGGGCTATGCCTGCTGGGAGAGACTCCCCAGGGTGAAGGGGGAGAAAGCACCATTCCACTCACCCCCCAATGCACTGCTGGGTCTAGGGCTGTGCTGCCTGACTCCTATAGCTGGGCAGGATAGGGATGCCCTTGACACAGTAAAGCTTTCTATGGGGGGATTCTGGCACCCCCTCATAGTCAGCACCCAGGGCTGGTGCCCTGCTCCCCCCACCCCTGTCATGCTATTGGAGGTCAGATGGACTATGCTGGAACCCCAGAGTTAACACATCATCTTTTACAAACAAAATGTCTTTGGTTATTTAATGGCTTCAAATGCCAGGGTGTTTGTCTAGTGAAAGGCTGCAGAGCAGTACCATCTAGAGCAGGGGTGGCCAATCTGTGGAACATATGCCACAAGTGTCATGTGTGGCACGTGACAGATCAGGAAAGGGACAGGCAGCACAGTGGTAGAAAGGGCAAGGAGAAGAAAGCTGAGCAGCGGGATAGGGCAGGAAGCACCAGCCACTCTTGGGCAGGGAAAGGGGGTTGGAGTGGCATGTTGGAAGGGTGCCAGGCAAATTTGTGGAATGCGTGCCAGAAGAGTTGCCCCCCTGTTGATCTAGAGAACAACCAACGTCACCCCCTGTAGCAGCTAAGTGTTTCTTGGCAGGCTCCCCTCCGAGCATTTCCCAGACCATCCCATCCAGAGACTGCCCAAGAACCGTCCTTGTATGCAGCAGTTCCACCCAGAACAGTTCGAGTGCTCTTTACTATGAGGATTTTTGCCATCTTGTTTCTAAACAAGTTTTGAAATTTTATTTCCAGATTGGTTCTTCTGATCATTTACATTCAGACAGCAGTGGTAAAAGGCACATGAATATCTCAGCAAGATTGCTACTTATTAAGTCTCCTTTCCTGGAATAGCATCAATGCCACCAGCTCTCTGAAATGCATAATGCTGCGCTATCAGATTTGGGGGAAGCAGATGTCTTTGTGATAGTCTTGCTTCATGGAGAAGCAACAGCAGGCAGACTATACACCTTTGGAATAATCTCTCAAGGAACAGATTCAGTCTGGAGGAGTCCAAGATGATACTTCTCATTTGCTATTGTAGCAACATTACTAAAATAAAAACAAAAAAATGCCAAGAGCTGGACAAGACTTCAAAAGATCTGAAAGTATGAATGTTTCTCTCCACAGCTCCAGAAATCGGGCTGAGGACCTAACTAGCTGTGGCACTTTGAGAAGATTTGTCCCAAAAAGCCAACAGACTGAACAACTGTTATTTCCTATTCCAAGTACAGAGAAATTTGAATTCACAATGATCACAAGCACCAGCCCACAGTAGTCACTGGCAACAGCGAGTTTTTAACAGTAACAGCTGTGCTTCTGATGTGGGACTGAACATTGTGTTTAGGGCAATTTTTGAGGCTCTTCAGGACTTTCTCTGCCTCTCTTAGCCAGGTAGTATTGAGACAAACACACCTTTAAATCTCTTAAACCCACAAGAAAGTCTAAGGTTTGTTTAAAGGTTTTGTTACAATTAGCATTACCAGTGATGAGACAAGCACCCGCTCCAGCTCAGGTCAGGGCTTTATTGTGGGAGGTGTTATACAAACATTTAGCAAGGGGCAGTCACTGTCCCCAGGAATTTATACAGCAAGCAGGCAAGACAGACAAAGTGTGGGAGGGGAAGCAGAGGCACAGAGAGGTAGAGTGACCTTCACAAGGTCACAGGTCAGTGGCTGAACCAGTCTCCTGGCTCCCAGGTCAGCACCCTACTCCCTGTACCACATTGCCACCCCACGTAAATTTGTGGTGCAAACACAGAACTTCGAGCCTGATAGTACAGAGAACTTAACCTGGCTCTTGTGCTCTATGGCCCTGGACTGGCTGATTACCCGTGCCTTAGTGTCCAATATGCAAAGTGGAGGTGTCACTCCTGATCTTCCCTGTGTGTCTGCGGCTGATGCAGTGCTCTGCATTTGAACAGCACTCTCAGGGCAATGAAATCACCTAATCAACAGGCCTCCTACGGAGTTGCAACAATTACCGATTCCATTCCACTCTCCCAGTTCAGCTCTACTAACCTCTGTTCCAAGCATATTATGCTCCTGGAGGCTTAGCAGAAAGTGTGCTGCCAACACTACTAATCTACTTAGACTGGAAACTCCCTACAGCAAGAACCACCTTTTTGCCATGTTTGCCTAGTGCCTAACACAATAGGATCCTGGCCCGTGACTGTTGTAACTGCTAGAATAATTATTTTTAAGAGCAGATTGGACAGACACTTAGCTAGCATGTTTTAGTCAGGGATGATCCTGCCTTGAGCAGAGGGCAGAACTAGATGACTGTGAGGTCCCTTCCAGCCCTACTTTTCTGTGATCCAGTCTCCCATCTCCAGACACAGCCAGAATCTGATGCCTCAGAGTAACATGTCCACAGTAAATCCTAAACAGCTGTGAGGCCATGGCCTCAAACCTGGGATCTCAGCCTGCCTGGCACAGCCACTCATCCCAGCCTGCCACCTCTCTGGCTGAACATTCAGGTCAAGCAAACCAGCCAGAAATTTCCCTCTGGGTCTGGTCATTCACTCACTCCCTGCCACCCGGGGTGGCCAGCCAGGGTCTGCTGACCCCACCATCTCTTCCCATATAAACCCCTGATGCAGAAGAGGAAATGTCTGGGCAGCAGGGCTTAACCTGTACCCAGACTGCTTGACCCCTGACTTGTGCCTCTACCAGCTCTGACTAGTCCCTTGGCTACCTGACACAGCTTGCCCTTGGACTCCATGTTCACCCTGACCCTTCAGCTTCCTAAGCCAACTCCTGGCTTCATCTCCTGGCTACCCGACCCAGCTTTCCTTCTGACTCCATGCTCTGCCTGACCTTCCGGCTTTCTGACTCAGCTCTTCAGATTGACCTCCCAGCTTCTGGCTTCCCAGATTCTGCATATTCCTTCTGATCCTGATTGCTCCCCACATGCCTCAAAAGATTCCCAGACCTGGCTGCCCATGAACCAGCATGACCGTAGCATTTGCACAGCAGCAACAAGAACCAGAATCAGCTGCTTCCTGCAGTACCTGCACTTGGGCATGCTGGAGGGGCAGCAGGGGGAACTCTATTCTGACACATCACCCAACCAAGCATACCTGCAGTTATGGGGTGCAGAATTGCTTTAGGGTGTTGCCTTTCAGATTAAAAATAAAGTCTATGCCCTTTCCACACACAGACTTTATAGGTCCCATAGCACTTCAAGAGTAAGGGTGTCATCCAAGGTTCATGGCTGATTTGCAAGATGTATCATTACCCTTTGCCCACCCAAAATTCCTCCTGTACTTTGGGTTGGGTATAATAATCTTCTTCTCATTCCATCCTAAACTGTTATACAAAGTACAGCAGAGGATGGCTGCATGTTTTCATGCTCCACCCCGTAAGTGGCTGCATTTCACTGATGGGGGAAGCAACTCCTCTGCACCTGTCTGTAAAATCTGCACAGTGCTTCAGGATGGTTGGATGAAAGGTGCCAGTGAATCTCAGCTATTAGGGCTGTCACCTAGAATGGATCTTTGCAGTGACAGCCTGTTTTAGCCTCACAGCCTTGTCACAGACTTGTCCAACTCACTATTCCACAGCACGGTCCCGGCAGCAATGGAAAACATCAGGGATTGTTTAAAGTGCAGTTAAAGTCAGGAAGCTCTAAACATCCCCAGCAAGGGTTCTCTTTCAACCACCTCCAGAGCAAATTGTATCAGTTTACAACTGTAAAGGTGATTTTCCAATGCAGCACCACAAACTCAGCCTACGATTTGGAAACTCAGCTCAGTACCTTCTGCCTCTGATATCATCCCCAACAAGTAAGGTTCCTGCAGCCTCAGCTGCCCAAGGGAGAGTCCCACCTGCTCTCCCACCCCAGGGGGCTCTGCAGGGCTAACAGGAGGACAAGCTGCGTGTGTTCGCTAGTGAGCAGGGTGCAACTAGAAGATACGTAGGGGGAGAGGGCAAGAAGGGGCTGTGGCATCATTATGTTTCTGACTGTCTTAAGCACATCCTTAAAAACTGTCATCTCTGTGTAAGTGTACGTGTGTGTGCATGAGTGTATATGAGATCTCACTATCAGTTGGGAAAGTATGTGCATGAATATGTACCCATGTCTGTGCAGAACTCTTGGCTGAAAAAATGAATGTGTATGGGCAAGTGGTGAGATAAAGAAGGAGGTTCAGACGGGTCCCAATTTATGCTCCAAGAGTGGAAGGGCCCCAAGTAATGTCACACACACCCCTGTAATCCCTGTGTACCTACCTCTCTGGAATGACTCTCTCTTTCCACTCAAGTAGGAGAGGACAGATCCTGGCCACAAGTCATTACATGTGATAGCCAAGTTGGCTTCTCCATGCAGCTGCAGGTTATATTCCTAGACAGCAAAAGCCACAAGAGGTTTCCATTCATCTGCCATGGCAGGATCCCTTCCCAGCACCACTTGCTTATTTTGGAAACCCACTGAGTTTTAGCTCCAGGTGCCGCAAGTGGCTGACAGCTGGTGTGGGCTGGTCCTGAACCCAAGTACCATGTTCTCAGTACCATCACCTCTCCACAGCCCTGCCCTGCTCACTGCTCAGGGTGAAGTCTGGGGTGGAGGAGGTTTGTGAGCTCCACAGCAAAGGATGGGGCAGGAAGATCTGGTGATATAAGACACATCTCACCCTCCCCCACACTTACCTGTACTGTGCCTGAAAATGGTTCTGCACAAAGCTCTGTCCCTTGGGAAGCTGGGAGGCTGGTTGAGTGCTTCCAGAGCCACCACTCTCATCAACATCAGGCTGAGGCTGCAGAGGGAACAAAGAAATGAATGGGATTCGGAGAACATAAAACAGCTGGTAAAGATCAACGCTTTGCTAGTAGCACCCCCATACTCTTTGTTGCATCCCGTTCCCTCTGGGTGTTATCAATAATTTCTCCTAAAAGAGAACTTGCCTCCAAGCTCATCTCTGCCTCTGCTTCTCCACAGCTCATGCTTTGCCTCCTGGTTTCTGACCCACTCTAATACAAACCACTTGCCCCACAACACTGTTACAACCTACAGAAACTCCACTGTGGAGCAGCCCCAGAATCAGCAATTCCATGTGTGCCCATCTTCACTGCAGAGATAACAGAAGTGGTTGGCACCCGGGTTGGCAGTCCCTAGGTCTGAGTGTCCACACTGAACAGCCTGGTGATCAGAGTGACTATCCTCACAACTACAGCAAGCCTCACTTCCCTGTGCATGTCATATCTCACTGTTTTTAGCCAGCAGAAACACCCTATAGTTATTTTGCAGGGAACTGTAGGAGAACTTGTCTGTCTTTCTGGGTTCATGGGAGAATTGTGGGAAGGCAATGAAGGTCTAACAGCACTTGAATGACTTATCCTATGTCCTCATTGCAAACTGGGTAGGTTACAAGCTGGAGGGAAAATGACCCATGCTTCCAGCTGAGCCAACCACTGCAAGAAGCAGATTAGGAGCAGCAGCCAAAAGCCCAGCCTATACTTTAGTGAGAAGGAGCCATGCAAGAGCAAGGGGAGCCCTGGGAGATGTCAAATCTCAGGGGGATGGAAATCACACTATGCAAGAGGAACATGATATTCAAACACAGAGAAGTGCAGAAGTGAGTGCTTAGGGGGCATACAGACAGCCCACAGTTTGCCTTTCACTCTGTACCCTTAAGTGGCATGCCTAAGGCTGCTGAGTTCCTACAAGAAGAAAGATGCACTGGGAGAGATTTATGCCCAGCATTCTGCACACTGAATGCCAGGCAATTTTGCTCCAGGAAAATACTGATCAGCATGAGGGAGTGGAAGGAAGAGCAACAAAAGTGACTGGAGAGAAGAAGAGGGGCAGGTGTGAGGGTTTTGGCCAGGATGAAGGCAGCCGGACCCTCAGAAGGCCGCTAGCAGCGACCTGTGGGTCAGCAGAGCAGGGGCATGGGTTACTGGAGCTGACGGGAGATCCAAGAAATGTAATCTGAGATGTAAGCCGAGATCAGGAGCTAGGAGTCACAGAACCGGTGCTAAATTCCACAGAAGATCTGAGGTCAGGGTCAAGGAAGCCAAACTGAGTCAGGATGCCGGGGGGGCCAGAGAGCAGGGCCAGAGCTGAGGTTCAGAGGAGAGCCAAAATCAGGGTCAGAGAAAGCCAAAGCCAAGTCAGGAGCCAGAACTGGAGAAAATGAACACAAAGCTTACCAGAACAGACTGAGGCTGTGTGAAGACATGTCTGCAGCTGTAGATACAGAGGAGGGAATAGTCTGCATCAGGGCAAGGGACACACCACTAAGAGCTGGATGGTGGGAGGCCGAGTGCTCAGGGCTCTAACCTGGGCATCTAGGCTGGGTTCAGTTTTGGCTCTGCCTGTCTGTGCCTTAGTCTCCTAATGAGGATAACAGCACTGCCTGCAGCCCAAGGGTGCTGTGAGTATAAATAGACAAAGGCTTGTGAGGCACTAAGCCATTGTGGTGAAGATGTTACAGTCAGATGTGACCCTCATGGTTGTGCGGGCCGTCTCCAGATCCCATCCTCGTCGCCACGTGCGGGCGGCGGGGAGCGATCCGGGACCTTTTTTGCGCCGCGCAGGCTGTGGCCAGCAGCCCGGGCACGCTGGGTCGGAGAGAACAGGTGACACGCTAGAATTAGGCACGGACGCGTAATGGTTGATTCAAGATTGTTTACTTACACCGAAGATGGTCGCGGTGTAGGCTGGACAGTTTCCCAAGCACAGCTCCGCTTAAATCCTCGTTTGAGGACTCAGACAATATTCGATCACTCCCACGGAGTTGTCGAGGCTCCGTGGATCCTTTTGTTCACTCACAATTCACTCACACGAAGTTTGCTAGGCTCCGTGGGTCCTTTTTTTGCGCGCAGGGAGAGGGATACGTCGAGGTTTGCGCTCGGTGATGGGGAGAGGCTAGAGGCTGATCAGACCCCTGTTGCCTGCTTTAAATGCGCTGGGTCCAATAGGCTCCACAGCACTTACAGATCTTCACACAGCGTGAAGTCTCCTCCTCCTGGTGTTTGTGGAGTCCTCCCTTGCGGGGGTTCTCCTCGGAGTTCTCCAACTTGGGCAGAAACCACCCAAGCCTTTTATACGGCTAGCAAACCAATCGCTAGCCGCCACGTGGGAATAATTTAACGCAATCCAATAATGGGGCTCGAATTATCATACAAATGGCGGGAACTCTTTGCACTGAGCATTTCTTAGCTGCAAAGAAGAAATGCACGCTGCAAAGAAAGCTACGTATTGGCGGGAAAATAATTCAGTGGTGCCAAAGCACACACAAAAACAAAAATCACACCCTTTGGGTTGTGACAATGGTGTCTCCAATTGCTGGGGCACCTGAACTAAGAATGCCTCCCATTGATGCTTCTTGCCCTTTTCCCCTCCTGGATGGAGCCTACATAGCTGAGTTACAAAGCTGATTCTCTCATCAGGGTCTGCTATGGCTGGAGATATGCCAGCAGCTGTGATTCCCATCCCCAGCACTGCTGGGAGCAGTCAGCTCTCTGCACCAGCAGAAAGCAAAGGAGAGGGAGGCTTCATTTATAGGAGTGGAATGCATAGCTGGGGAGCAGTGAGGAGCAGGGAAGTGATTTTTACCTCTGAATCTGACAGTGGTGAATACAGCACACAAGTCTGGGACCCACATTTGAAAAGGCATGCCAAAATAGTACAATGAGTGCTTAAAAGGGACAAAAGAATGGTTCAAGGACTGGAGAAAATGCCTTAGAGAGAGAAAATACATCCCTTATGTGGAGCACTGGTAGTCAGCAAGGCTGTGGGAAGTGGACCATAGATGACTCCCCTGCATCTTTTCTATCAGAAGTCTGAAGGTAAGTGCACAGGCTGGTCTGTGACAGAGGCCAAGGGTTAACAGAGGACCAGATGTTCAGAAGGTTTGAGATCCACTGCCTTAGAGTGAGATTTCAAGAGCCCAATCTTGTTTAACTTAGAAGATCAAGGGGTCACTTGATTCCACTGTATAAGTACCTTCAGGGCAAGAAAAACATTAAGTGCTAAGGGGCTCTCCAATCTAGTGGGCAGGGGCATAAGAAGTTAAAGCCAGACAAATTCTAAATCAAAGTTAGGCACAATTGTTTTAGCAGCAAGGGTGACTCACCACTAAAAAAAGGCCAAGAGAACTGGTAGATTTACTATCCCTTGGGGCCTCCAGATCAGAATGGATGCTTTTCTGGAAGCTTCTTCAACAAATACAAGTTAATAGACTCAATACAACATACATGGGGTAAATCACAATAGCCTGTGATATAAAGGAGTCAGACGAGGCAATCTCATGGTTGCTTTGTGCATTGATGAAACAATTAAATTAACAAAATCCATCCATGCGTTAGCAGTTCTCATCCCTCTCCCTGCACAGAGAAAGTGACCAGGGTTGCCGGGACAGTTCAATAAAGGAGAGATCCAGCTCAGGTGGGTGACACTGCAGCTCTGAGACAGCAATGCAACACATATGAAAAATCCACCCCAGTGAAACCCAGCAGTCGGGCAGCACAACTCAGCAGGAGTCAGCAGCTCACACCTTCCCAGGCACCTGCTGCACGCAGCAGGCTTCTCCACGCCGCCAGCTGTCAATTCCAAACTCCTCTCCTGAGAGCTGGGTTGGTGCAAAGGGCAGGCGAGAGATGGAGAATGTGCACGCGAGTATGTGCGAAAGAGAGAGAGTGCATGTGCAAGGGTGAAATCGTGTGTGTACGTGTTTCTCCGCAGTGTGCACCTGTGCTTAAGAGCTATTCTGTGTGCAGCACGCACAAGAGGAAAATTGTCCGAGGCACTAATTAACCTTAAGTAAATGATCAGAAAAGAAGCGTTAAATAAATGTATCAACTGGTGTGAATTTCTGTAAGGCAGGTGTGAATCAGGACTTTGCTAAAAAGGATATAAAATAAAGACTGCCTTGCATTTGCCTAGCATCCCTTCTATGCACCTTTCAAAAACAGCACTGAGCTCAGCTATTATGTTCCAGTAAATGTGGTTCCAGAGGGTAAATTGAGGCACAATGATAGTAAAGTAACTTACTCAAGAGCTGATTGGCTGACAGATCACCCCAAAACCCAGGAGTTTTGAAACCCAACTCCCTAGTTAACACCACCAGGTCCAATAGCCAGAGCCTTGCTCGTATATATGTTTGCGATTGCCCTGATGGACCAGTGGCCCTTTTCTGTGCACACTCTAATACTGCCATCAGAAACAACACCCCAGAAAGATTTAGGGAAGCACCAGGTGGATCTGTAGTTGTGGTTCCAGACTGTATCACACAGGCAGTGAGAGCAGACTGCAATTTCATCCAAAGACGTGATAAATCTTTTTTGCTCCTGCTGTACAAAATTGAAGAGCAGAGGCTTCAGGCAACTGCTGGTGTTTATAGCTTGTGCTCAAGTGATGGCAGCTAACGCTGTCGGGGAGGTAGAAATTATCTGTCAGGATTCTAGAACAGGGAACTCTTCAATATTATTTAACTGGCAAATGCCTTCTGGGGTCATTGCCTGGAGTTTGGGAATAGTCAGTGAGTGTTAATGGCATGCTTAAAAGCAAACAGCAGCTGCATTTACAATCCAGCCAACGGTGTCACCCAGACCAACACTGGCTGCCAAACTTCAGGGCAATACTGATACCAACAAACTGCCCAGCTCTGCTAAAGATTAGCAACAGGGAGCATCTAATTCCGCCTCCTAGGGAAATACCCCAAACCCGTAAGAGAAGAGGCTACAGGGAGTGCTCTGTAGGGTCACTATGATGAGGCTGCCATTCCTGTTTAACTGAGGTTGGACTCCTTTG